TGTTTTGGGTATTGATAGCAGTCTTGGTCCTCGCTGCTGCTGACGACAGCAGTTCAACAGGTCAGTCTAACGACGGCGACGACAACGGAGTTGATAATGACAATGACAACGGCGACGCAGGAGCCGCGTCAGACGTCGAGGGACGCACAAGATCGTCCGAGGCTGGGAAGCAACAGGGCAGATTCTTTGGAGGGTTGGGAGGTTTAAGTCCTATTGGAGGTGTTGGTGCCATCAGTCCTGTAGGTATTGGCGGTATTAGTCCTGTTGGAGGTTTTGGCGGCATCAGTCCTGTTGGAGGCATAAGTCCTGCTGGGGGATTCGGAGGTATCAATCCTGTGGGAGGACTTGGAGTTACCCCAGTAGTAGGAGGCGTAGGCTTTGGGAATAAACCCACCTTTGGAGTGAATCCTATTCACGGAGGTGGATTGGGCATTGGGCCTGGCATTGGAGGCATTGTGAGTCCTGTGGCTCCTCCCTCCACATGCCGTTACTGGTGCAGGACACCCGAGGGTCAGGCCTACTGTTGTGAGAACATCAACCAGCCACAGAGTGCTGCCGGTGTAGTCAAACCGGGATTCTGTCCCCCCGTTCGTCCAGTGTGTCCTCTTAGGAGCTTCCAGCCACCATTCACTTGCTCTAACGACGGCGCTTGCGGAGGCATCGACAAGTGTTGCTTCGACAGGTGTCTCGGCGAACACGTGTGCAAACCTCCTCTGGGCATTGGGCGGTAAAGTCATATAGAAATAATTTTAAAAAATGTTCCATAAGCCAAAAATGTAAATATGTAAATGTAATAAAGATGGAAAACGTAAGTTTATGTGCACCATTATCTGTCCCAGCATCTACAATATATAACATACATGCATACATATATATGCATATATACTTCCGTATATATATATATTATATATATATATATATATATATATATATATATATATATATATATATATATATATATATATATATTCATGTCCTGGCGAGCACGTGTTCAAGCCTCCTCTGGGCAATGGGCGATAATAAGCTCAACTAAATGAATAACACCAAAAAAGTTCTTACTAAATGTACCATACTGGTATGAGGGTTACGTTAGTAAGGATTCCATAACAGGCTTTATTTGTCAGAAATGTAAATGTGTAAATGAAATGTAATTCTCAGAAAAAGGCACATCTGTTAGTATCTATATCTATTTATCTCTCCAGCTCTTTTTACATATGTATACATACATATATATGCAAGTGATATATATATATATATATATATATATATATATATATGTATATATACATATGAATATATGCATATATGAACACCGGTTTGAATGTCTTAAACCTTCCGGGGATGATTATTTGGATTTTTTATATGTTGCTTGTAAATCATGCCGTTCAGTTGGTTTCCGCGGGACACATTTTGACTAACATCATTTCGCGTCTCGGATCTATGAGCAATGATAAAACACCATAAAAAATTACCTTTCTTTATAAACTAAATAAGGGATCATACATACATAGATATGCGCACTTAGAATTCAAAATGCGCTGTAGACAATCGTAGAAAAACGAATATTTACATGCAGAAGCTGCTCCATCCCTTTCCCTCTTCGAAAACCTTCTCTTTCTGAAAACATGAATTTATATTGTCTTGAGTGTATTTTTTACATGGAATACTATATATCATACAATCAGTGACAGCTTTCCTCTGAGCCGTGAAAACCATATGAATAAGCATCGACCAATATATAGCACAATAAGCGTGTAATACATACATTACACATCAACTTGTTTTACTCTTCTTCACCTCCTGAGTCATTTTTGAACACGATCTTTTTCTTTTTCGCCATGCGTGGAGAAAACATTGATCGTTTACTTTACATCTCAATAGGGAGAAAATAAACATTAAAAAAAAAAAACATTTCCTAGCATATGTATATATGTATATACATATATACACACACATACGTATATATATATATATATATATATATATATATATATATATATATATATATCTATATCTATCTATCTATCTATCTATCTATCTATCTATCTATATATCTATATCTAATCTATATCTATCTATATCTATCTATCTATCTATCTATCTATCTATATATGTGTGTGTGTGTGTGTGTGTGTGTGTGTGTTGTGTGTGTGTATTTACGTAGACACAGACACTTAGTCACATATGCACATATAGTATATTCATACATGTATATATTTTCGACAGAGAGATAGTTACAATTAAAGCACACACAAACGTGTGTGTGTGTGTGTGTATGTGTGTGAGTATGTGTGTATGTGTGTGTATGTGTGTTTTATGTGTGCATATGTATGTGTATATATGCACGGGTTACACACACACGTATATCTATATTTACTTATTTATTCATTATATATATATATATATATATATATATATATATATATATATAACATAGACTCATATGTGTATACAGACATAAACATATATGTAAACTTATATATATACACATGCTGAGTCTTTTTATTTATTTCACATAATGTAAATGCAATGTTTTCTTCGGATTTGATTAGTTGTTAATGAAAGTTGATATTTAATCTAAAAAGAATTCATTATGTATATGTACATAAATATATACACGTATATTATATATCTATACACACATACACACACATTTATATATATGTATATACATATATAGGTATGTATTTACATATATATTATATATATATATATATATATATATATATATTAATATATTATATGTACAGAAATATATATGTATATGCAAGTATGCATTTACCGTATATATTGTAGGTGGTGAGACTGATAATGGTGCACATAAACTCGTTTTACATCTTTAATTCATTTACATATTTACATTTTTTGGCATATGGAACATGTTGTAGAAATTTTACAAAACATACCATTAGTTCCAGCGTGGAACATTTGATATTTTTTTGTTTGCTATTATTTCCATAGGACTTTATCGCCCAATGCCCAGAGGAGGTTTGCACACGTGCTCGCCGAGACACCTGTCGAAGCAACACTTGTCGATGCCTCCGCAAGCGCCGTCGTTAGAGCAAGTGAATGGTGGCTGGAAGCTCCTTAGAGGACACACTGGACGAACGGGGGACAGAATCCCGGTTTGACTACACGGCAGCACTCTGTGGCTGGTTGATATTCTCACAGCAATAGGCCTGACCCTCGGGTGTCCTGCACCAGTAGCGGCATGTGGAGGGGGAGCCACAGGACTCACAATACCAGGCCAATGTCCAATCCTCCTCCATGAATAGGATTTACAGCAAGTCCTCCCAAAGCAGGATTTACTCCAAACCCTCCTCCTAGTACTGGGTTAACTCCAAAGCCTCCAACAGGACTGATACCGCCAATACCTCCAACAGGACTGATACTCCAACACCTCCAACGGGACTGATACCGCCAATACCTCCAACAGGACTGAAACCGCCAATACCTCCAACAGGACTGATACCGCCAACGCCTCCAACAGGACTGATACCGCCAATACCTCCAACAGGACTGATTCCGCCAATACCTCCAACAGGACTGAAACCGCCAAACGCCTCCAACAGGACTCAAGCCTCCCAATCCTCCAAAGAATCTGCCCTGTTGCTTCCCAGCCTCGGACGTCCTTGTGCGTCCCTCGACGTCTGACGCGGCCCCTGCGTCGCCGTTGCCATTGTCATCAACTCCGTTGTCATCAGCGCCGTTGTCGTCGCCGTCGTTAGACTGGCCTGTTGAACTGCTGTCGTCAGCAGTAGCGAGGGCCAAGAGTGCGATCAGTAGCCAAAACAACTTCATCTGAAATTAGAAAACGAAAAAGATTATGTGCTAACGTAAATGCGATTACAAGAGGAACCATATTTAGAGGCAGTTTAACATGGCCAAGTTTTTTCTTTTGATTATTATAGGATTATTTTGATGTACCTTGTTGGTTCAATGTGATTCATGAACTGATGATGGATAACAGCGTTCATCTCTTATATACTGCTTGACGTTCACCTTGAAACTGAACTCACTGACGGAATACCAGTCAGGAGAAACTGACTTTTGCTTTTTTATATAATCATCATGACAAACTAGGACTTCCGTCTGTGCATATTTATATATGTATGTAGATATGCATATAATTGTACAGCAAATACACTTCTATGTATATATCTATTTATAGACATATAGGCATAGATATGTTTAGAAACATATGTTTGTATACCTCCATACTTACAAATATGTGTCACTGTATATTATGTTCATTGTGTGTATTTACATATCTAAAAGTAGTACTTTAACATACTTTAATATATGCATATATTCACATATATCTTAAATATATGAATATATGAATATATAGTTGTATTATACATGTATATACATATACTCATATGTACATGATTATATTATTTACATGTAATGTATGTACATGGTCATGTGTACGATCTGCTCTTATTTGCACATAGAGTAACCACTCATGTACACATATGTACGCATATGTGTGAACAGATAGATAAATGAATAAATGCACACACTCATACAATATATACACTCATACACACACAAATACACAAAGTATGGTATGATCCCATTGCGTTGTTCATACATGGAGATTTCATCGCGATCAGAGAAAGGTATCCATGGCAGCTGAAGGGTTGGCTAGTATGGAGGCTTGGCTAGCATGGCTGTTCTCGCTAATTGTCTATGTATTGCCGAGCATGCGAACGAGAATTTATATATGTATATATATCTATATATATGTATATATATGCATATATGTGTATACACAACACATGCATAATACATAATACATTTGTGTATATTATATATAGATGTATGTATATTGATTTGTTTACCTATATGTTCATAAATGTACACACACGCACATATGTCCATATACATATGTATGTGTGTATGTGCGTTAATGGTTACGTATACTAGCAGGATACATATATGCGTATATTTTACTTACCTAAATCACGAAAGAAGGGGAAGAATGAGACATTTTT